GCCCCGCCGGGCTCCTGGGGCTGTGGCCGGAAGGTTTTTAATCTCCGCGTGTGCATGTGACTGTGCTGGGTTGGAATGTGAACAATAAAGAGGAATGTCCAAGTGTTCAGAGGCTGCTGGGGGGAGGGGTGTGGACCAGGCCCGCTTTTGTTGCTTAAATCTCCTTTGAGAAAACAGCGAAGGGGAATGGGGTTAGGTGGAGCGGCATCTGAGGTGAAATCTACTCCTCTGACCCAAGCGGCCTTCCTGCGAACACAGTGTCACCTCAGAGACTTCACGTACGTTCCTTCCCTTCACGGGCTACTTCTGGTTTGCAGAAGGAATTGGCCATGTTGACCGAAAAACACGGAACAAAATGGTAGCCATTGGCTTTAATTATTGGTATCTTTCCTCAGGCTTCTCAGGGATGGGGAGAAGTCAGATAATCATGGGCAGCTTGGACTTGGTGGTCGTCGCAGTGCTGGCAGACTTAGTGGTTGTCACGGTGCTGGCAGACGGGGACCTCTCCAAGAGGCCTTTCCTAGAGCTGGCCTTTGGAGAGACCGGCTCTGAAATCCCAGGAGCCACAGCGTCCTCCCTGATGGAGACAGACAAATTTTACTGTGAATAGACTCACCCTTCAGAGGATGGCTATGGTCTATCCCAGGGATTTTAAAATTTTACTGTTCATGAAAATCATCCTTGGAACTTGTGTTAAAATAGATTCCATGACCCATGTACCCCCCGACACACGGATTCTGCTGTAAGAGGTACAAGAAATGGCCCAAATCTGAATGTTTAGCAAGTTCTGGTGATTTTTTGTCTAGATAAAATGAGGCTCAAAAATATTGCTCTAGTCAAGACTCCAGGTCTTGCAGCTGAAGTGGATGACAGAGGAATCTTTGGCCTCCTTTCCTGATTGCTCCATGCAAAACTAAACTCAGCTGAGTAATCAGGACACATAAAACTCCTCGAATCAAAATGGATAACATATATATGAAAATGCTTTAAAAATTGAGAAAGTATCTGGGCATGGTGCTGCATGCCTGTAATCTCAGCACTTGGGAGGCTGAAACGAGAGGCGAGTTTGAGGCCAGCCTGGTTTACATAGAGAGTTCAAGGCTGGCCTGAACTACATGGCAAGACCCTGTATCAAAGAAGAAGAAGAAAAAAAAACTGAGAAAGTAAACATTCTTAAGTATGAGTAGGGGCAGGGTAGCCCTGCAAACTGAGCCACCCCTGTTCCAACCCCTCCACCCTGTGTACCTTGTTTACACATTCAATAGGTTATGCTGCCCCTGCCACCACCAAAAGCTAAGCAGCACTCCTTATCCTTAACACTTTTGATAGTGTCAGGATTTGAAGGCTGACATCGCCTACTTCTCCCTCTGCACCACCTAGCGCTCCTGCTCACCGAAGGTCACTACCCCCATATGTCTCCTTGGGCGTCTTCTTCCTCTCTTTCTGGAACCTGATCAGGCAGAACACAGCAACTGACAGCAGCAGCACGCCCAGAAGCACCCCAATCAGTGTCCCAGCTACTCTGCCTTCCGAGGGACCTGAGGATACACAGGACTTACGGAGTTGCAGAATTTAAAAAGTTTTATGAAGCCACCCCGAGCCACACCTTCCAGTCAGGCCCCTTCCCAACATCACCTACCCATCACGGAGAGGGTCAGCTCACAGGATGCAGTGCCCATCTGGTTGGTGGCCACACATCGATAGGTGCCCGAGGAGGTCAAGGACAGATTGGTGAGAATGAGCTGGCCAGACACTTCATCTAGAGGATGAAGAGGAAGTGTATCGCTCACTCAACTCACAGTGAGCATCTGGTATGAAGAAAGTACAATTCATTTCACCTTTACAACAATCCTGCCAAAGGAAGCCTTTCCTCATTTAACTGGTAGGAAAACTGGCTCAGAGAAAGCAATTTGTCTGAGATGATCCAGAGAGTAATTCTAAAGCCACTGCCACTTCTGTGTTCTTTCCACCCCACATAGCTGCCTTTTCAGGATTCAGGGATCCGCATATCCCAAGGCCATAGAATTGGGGAGGTATACTTATTAGCCGGGGTCAGGTTCCTTGTTGGGGATAAAGAGTTTGATGGCTAAAAATCTATCCTCTGGAGAACCTCTGAGCTGACTAGGATGTTTCTACAAACTCTGACCTTTGCTTGAAAAGGCAGAACATGCATCAGGAAGTAATCCAGAGGAGAGTGTCCGGACTGATACAGAGATTCTCTGGGGCTGGGGCTACAGGGAGAGACAGACAACTGGAACCAGCAAAAAGAAATCAAGAAGCTAAGGCTCTTAGGTATACGACTCTTCCAAAGAAAATGGCAAGATGACTCTAGTGAGTCCATGCTACTCTGCCTCAGTTTCTTCAGGAAGTCTGGAGGTGATTCATAAACCTTAAGAAATTAAAAAGGAATCCTCCAAAGGTAAACAAGTAGGAATCTTGAGAATGTTCCCTACCCTCTGCACTCTTTTAGGATATCAGGAGGATATATTACTTCAGTAATGTTCCCAGGGGCTGAGCGTGGTGGTGCACGCCTGTAATCCCAGCACATGGGAGGCTGAGGCAGGAGGATCGCTGTGAATTGAAGGCCAGCCTGGACTACACATAGTTCAAAGCCAACCTAAACTACATAGGAAGACCCTGTCTCAAAAAAAAAACAAAAAAACAAAACAATGCTCCCAGAAACCCAGTCACAGGCTGTGTGGGAAGACAGAAAGAAAACAATACAAAGAAGAGGCAGGGAAAAAGCAGTGTTTGTCTCATACCCTGATCATGGAACTTGTAATGTGGATATATATAAGGGTTAGAGATCAGATTTGCTCAGGCTCTAGGCCCCTCTTTCTGATGCCATGGGTCCTTACCTTGAACCATGCTGCCAGGAGAAGGTGTAGGAAAAGATCCTAGGCGAACCCAGCTGTACACTGGCTTGGGAGCTCCCTGGGAAGAGCTGCATCTCAGTGCTGCAGAGCCTCCTACAAAAGTTGTCCCACTCTGACTGCATGAGGGTCTACTGGGGGGCACTGCAAAAATCACACAGGAATCAGAAATCTTCTAACCCTGTGCCCATTGAGTGCCTGAGCTTCCTGCCTCAATACCACTGCTAAAGCATGGCCACTTCTCTCCACCACCACATCCCCAGGAAGTGATTTCCACTACTGGAAATTCTGATTGTTAGAAGTCTTCCTCAGGTTGAGCCAAAGTCTGTGTTAAAATGATATCCACCCATTGGCCCCAGTTCCTGTCCTCTGAGCCCACACAGAAAAGTTAAAATCTCTCCTCCATTTAACAAAGTCCTTTAGATATCTGCACGTAGCAGTCACACACTACATCGCAGTTCTTCGTTTTTTTATTTATTTTTTTTTTGTAAGTATCTTTGGCCTCTTTAGTAGCTTCTCCTGGTTGCCTACTCTGAGCAGGCTCTGATTTAGAAGGTGAGATGGAAGCTCTGAACAAAATGTGTTACTCAATGATGGAGGCTTAATTTGTTATATTCTCTCTCTCTCTCTCTCTCTCTCTAACACACACACACACACACACACACACACACACAGGGTCTCACTTTGTACTTCAGGCTGGCTCTAAACTCACTATTTAGCCCAGGCTGGCCTCAAGCTTTGTGGGGATCCTCCTGCCTCAGCCTCCAGAGTGCTAGGATTATAGGCATGTTCCACCACACCCCCAGTTGGGGCTTAGCTCCTTTAACAGCTGCTTCCCTTCTCAGCCACGGAGGTTGGGAGGGACAGAAAACAAATTCAGCCACAAAAGGGAGTTTCCTCCCAAGTGGAGCAGGTGGGGGCATGACTCAGATCCCTATAGATGGGAAGGGCTTCCTTTCTCAGGCCCTAAGGGAGGAGACATTGTATAGAGCTGGAGTGTGACCATCTAGATTGGAAGTCTTGAGAAGTGCACATTTTTTCTTGAGGTCCCCAGGGCAATTGTGTTCTTCAGTGGAGATCAAGACATAGGGGTATTTAACAGGCCCAGGGTACTCTTTCAGCATATGTGGTGGCTAGTGGGTCCTCTGACTGCCTTACCCAGCACTGTAAGGTTGATTAATCCCAGACCATTGGTGTAGAAATCCGGAGGGTTGTTAACCTGACAGAGATAGGTGCCGGTATCCGAGGGGCGGACATCCATCAATTTCAGGGTGGCCACCCCTCCTGTGGGGGGACTCTGGAGCAGGCTGGCCCTCTCTGACTGGGAACCAGTAGGGTACAGGTGGCCACTGGTGAAGTATAGGATCTGAGAAAAGGCAGAAGACACACTTGTGTCCTCTTTCTGCCAGACATCAACCTACAGTCCTGCTTGGAAGTGCCAGTGACTCCCCTCATTTAGCCGGTGAGGTCGATACCCTCTGTCCTGAACCATGAAGGGATAACAACACCATACCAACTGCAGCACTTCAGTACCAGTGGGTTTAGGAAGTAAAACAGGGGTTTCACTAGCAAAGGAGTTGGGCATAAGAATTATGGGACCACATAGACAGCAGCCCTAAGGAGACCTAGGGACAGCCTACTTGCTTTTTCCCAGATGGTTCCCAGGTGCCACCCCACTCCCATTTACGCCCTCATTCTGGGTGAGCCCTCCATTCCTGACCAGCCCCCCTGCACACAGTTGCCCTCAGCTCACAGGATGCGATGCAGAGATGGGCTTCCCAGGCTGCACAAAGCTCCACTCCAGGGCAAAGCTGTCTCCCACCGATGTGCTATAGCTGCAGACCAGCTCGGCAGTCTTGCCCACTGGCACGCTCAGTGGCTCTGCGGGCACCTTCACTTCCACGGCCAGCCCTGGGGCTGAGGATGCAGAGGGAGATCTGGACCCCAGTCCTGATGAACTGGAGGTTCTGACCCTCACAGCATCTAAACCAGATGCTGAAACCTCCCTCCCCACGTGCCGCCCCTTCCCCTCAATCCAATCACTACATCTCCGAACCTGAGGTTTCCGGGGGGAAGAAAGAGACAGACCACAGTTCAGCTGGCTTTTGTGGGTGAAAGGGCCAAGACTGGGCCAGGTATGAGGATGTGTTGGCAGGAAAAGGAAACAATACTCCCTGGACAGAGAGGCCAAACTTGCCCAGCCCGCTTGCCTGCCTCTCTCTTCCTCCACCCTCAGGCCCCCTCCTCACCCTTACCCCTTTCCCAGACCCTCACATCTGCCTCCTGGGCCCTGCTACTCAGGGCAGCTCCAGTCCACTGGGGACTAAGCAGATTCTGAGGACTCAGGGAAGCCAGGCTCCTGCCCCCAAGCTCTGGCAAAGGCCCACCCAGCCCAGCCCCTCCTCACCATTCAGGCTCAGGTAACCCAGCAGGGTCCCGAAGAGGAAAGGACCAGGGAGCCAGGCCATGGCCACCTAGCTTGGTGTGTTGATCTGCGTGGTGCTTGGGCCTGAGGAAGGGAAGGGAGTGCCCAAAAGGCAGCCTCCTTGTTCTGGGCAGGAGCTAGCCTGGCTATCTCAGAGCAAACAAGGGGAGAGGCTAGCACTCTCAGGTAAGCAAATGCTCCTCCCTCCCCCAGGTCCAATTCTGGAGTCACTCTAACCTGGCTTTCTTCTTACTTCCTCCTCCCTCCAAAGTCTGAAACTGTCAGGCTCTGGGGAAAAGGCTGGTCTTAGGGTGGGCACACTGAGGCTAAAGGCCCAGAACTGGAGCTACACAAGGAAAGTGTCTGGAGGAGGAAGAGATTCTGATACCAAGAGCTAGAAATGACTCTACCACTTTGTCCCATGGTGAAGACCGTTTTCTGGCACCTTCAGGGATTCCTGTCCCTTCCAAGCTCTTTCACTACTTCCTGGGGTAGAAGTCTCCATGGAAACTATACCAACTCCCCATTCTCAGGTATACTCCACTCGATGGGCAGAGAATCTGAGACCTAGAGACCTCCCACCTTTGTCAGGAAAGAACATGTTGGCATTTGGTCATAAACCTACACCATATCCTCTGCTGAACTCTCCCTGGGTAACAAGAGGGATTGCTGCAGTGGGGAGATGTGTTTGTTGAGGTCTCTTCTCACCTGCCCTGGAGAGGAAGAGGAGAGGAAGTTCATGAACACAGAGCAGGAAGCATCAAAGCAACTTTGCAGCAAGTGAGCAGCCAGTTTTACACCCTTACTCTTCAGACTGGTCAGGCTGGGCTCCTAGCCTCTGGCTCCTGGTGCCTCCCCTTTCCACAGAACAACAAACAGCCTTTCCAAGGAACCTAGAAGAGCCACCCCGAGCTAGCAAGCTCTGAGCTGTGAAGAAAAGCCCTCCTGGATACAGAATGGGAGTAAGGTTCACTTGATATCTTCCTGAAGCTCAACTTCTAGGAATTCTCAGTTGGAAAAGGATATTTGATTCTTATTCCATACAAACACAATGTATCTTTATTGAAATTTGCAAAATAAAAACAAAAACACATTTCAAGTTAGTTTTTAAAATGCCTTTCCTAGCCTCTGCCCCAAGAAACCCAACCAGGCCAGCAGGACAGGTTACATTAAAATGCAAGGAGCTGGAGTGGCAGCAAAGGATGGCATTAGATAGGGGTGAGGTACAGATCCTGGCAGTCTTCTCCAGAGCCCATGGAGGTTAGCCAATCTCAGCAGCATTCAGCTGGCTTCATAAGGAGGAGTGTAGCTTCCCCCAAACCCAGGTCTGCTTCCTCTTCTCCTTTGACCTCCTGGATATTTGGGTCTTCCTGAGACCCAGTTTTCCCACAATGAAGAGAGGTGAGGTCAGAAGACTGAAATGTGGCTGCCCTCCAAGGGCTCAGGTCTGTGCACTAGGGCTGACCCATACAGGAAGGCAAGACACCAGATGGTGAGTGTCTAAGCCATCACACCAGGGACCCATCCTGAGTCTGGGCAGGCACCATCACATTCACTGCACCCATGCGTCTCAGAGCAGAGCGAGAAATTCCACCAGGGCTGGGGGAGACAGGCTGAGGGCTGGCCCCATCTGTCTTGAGTAGGCTTGGTGAAGGCAGGGGCTGAGTAGAGACACTAGGCGTGGGGGTGAGAGTGCCAGGCCTGGGAGGGGCATGAGATACCCGGAGGGCACGTGCTGAGGTCACAGAAGAAAGAGTTCCATTCTTGGAGAGTGTGTCTGAGCCCTTGGACCAGGTCAGAGTCCGGGGAGCAGTGGCATCCTCCCTAGTCATCAAAGAATAAGAGATCAGAAGAAAGGAAAAGATAGGGAGAGTTTCTACATGCTTTATCTTACTCCCTGTCTTCATATACACACTTCAGCCCTTCTTTTGCTCTCCCTTAAAATCTGCCCATAAGAATGCTATTTTGATTATTGTCCAGCCTTCCATTAGACAGGAGCTGCTTGAATTCCCAGACCCTAAGGGAAGTTAGGAGAACCCTTGTCAAAGCAGAGATCAGAAACACTTACTTGATATCATTGGCTACATCCTCTAGGACCTTGCCCTGGCGTTGCCGTTGGTACAAGAGAACCAGCCCAACCAGCAGCACCAATCCAACCAGAGTGCCCACAGCCGCACCAGCAATCACTGCAGCTCTTGACCCTATAAAAACCTTGTTGTCAGAGGGGGTGCCCAGCTGACCTGTACTGCGCTTCAATCCCACTCCCCTGCTGCTGCCATTCATGTTTTTGCTTCTCTGCTAAGATGGACTGTCAAGTAGAAAATAGCCAGTCACTGACCAAACACTGGCACAAGCCTTTGACCAGGACAAGCTCCTTATTCTGTTACAGTGAGAAGCCTTACAAACAGACTTCTTTTTCTCCTGCAATCCAGCGCCACCACTGACCACTCTTCTTGACCACACTTACCCCTCACTAACCTGTGGTTACTTTCAGGGTCACATTGCAGTGGGCACTGCCCACTTCATTTTGGGCCGTGCAGAGGTAGATGCCAGACATAGAAGTGGAAAGGTTGGTGAGCTTTAAAGACCCACGTTTGCTATCTGTGGATACAATTTAGCCATCAGTCCAGGGACCTTCTTTCCATTGTTGAGAAAAGAAAAAAAAAATTCCTTCCCTTCTGCAATGTCCTCTTTCACTCTCTGGGAGTCACCACTTCTCTGTCCCCTGCTGGAGGGGAAGGGGATGAGGGGCTGTTTCCAGTTACAGACCAGCTAGCTCAATACCCCTCTCCACTTAAATTTCTATTTAAAAAAGAACAGGGTTTTATTATCAAAATGGTCTAATAAGGCTGGGGTATAGCTAAGTGGTAGAGTACAGGCTTAGCCATGTATAAGATCCTGGATCTAATTCCTAGAATTCCAAAATAACAAAACAAAGTCCTTTCCTAAAAAGCAAGCAAACACAAAATGTGAAATCAAAGGTAGAGGCACAGGCTAAAGCTATATACCCACCAACTAGATCCAAAAGTTGCTAACATTGTGCCACACTTATTTCATTTCTCTAATATTTTAAAGCAATACTTCAATGTGCATCTTCAAAAAATAAGAACAGCATCCCACATATCCATAATCCCATTGTTATACCAAAGAAATTGAGGACAATTCTCCAAAATCAACTAACAGTTCATATTAAAAATTTTCCAGTTGTCTCTAAAAGATTTTTATAGCCGGTGTATTCAAATCATGGCTATTGATAACCCATTTTACAAAGTTAGTGGTGGCACAGTGGCACAGCAGGACCTTGGCACAGGCAGTCCAGCTCCAGAGCCTCTTTAGAACAGTCTGTGATACGTGAAAGCATCTTCCTCTCCCCTCCTCATGCTCCGCCCCAGACTTTTTCAGCACCACCTCCTCCTTCCACCCAAGTCCTGTAGCACCACTCTTCTAGCCCTTCTCCAGCCGCAACCTCAGTGTTTCCAGAAATTCCCTCACCTGGGGCTGGGGATTTAGCTTAGTGGCACCAAGCCTGCCTTGCAAGTGCAGTCCTGAGTTTGATCCCCAGTACTGGGGGAAAAAAATTCCCTCACCTAAAACCGGTGGAAAGAAGACCTGGGGCAATGGGGACAGCCGCTCCCACTGGTACTGAGCCACAGGGTCACTCCTCGGGGACTGGCAGCTCAGGGTCACATTGGCCCCCGCATGGGACACACCCAGGAGACTGCAGGCTGGAGTCGCTGGAGGGACTGGAGAAGGGAAACAGGTTAAAACCCACACCCAAGAGACCCACGGACACCCCCTCTGTCACTCCATGTCCTGCCCCCAGTCTTGGCCCATTGGAAGGGAGATGTGCCTGAACCCCTGTGGGTGGGCAGGGATCTGGAAGTGTGTGCTTCTCACTCACCCAGCACATTGAGTTCCACCGTTTTGCTGTCGTGGCCCTTGTGTTGCACATTCACGGAGCAGCTGTAGGAGCCAGAGTCTTTTTTTTGGAGGCCCTGCAGCCTCAGGGACACGTTCCGCGAGGGCATGGAATGGACCAGGGATATTCCAGGGTTGCTTGAGATGGACCCGTTGATGTAGGACAGCACCTGGTGGGGTCAGGACAGCTCCTTGTTATTCCATGATGCCCTGTGTTCACAGTTCAGCCAGTCTCCCTCTCCTGAACTGGCCTTCTTCATGTGACCCTCACATGTACCATCATTCTGACCTGGACCAGTTCCTGCCGACCCCTCTCCCCAGCTACTTCTCACTGTGCCACTGTTCCCCTATGCACTGTCACTTGTCTCCTACTGGGGCATTTAGAAGGGTGCATAAGAGAAGAAGGGAGGGTATAAGGGGAACTTAAGATTGCACAGTAGATTTAGGTTTTGTAGAGTTTGAAATTTATACAACTAGAAGGGGCATCTTTAACAAAAAGAAGATAGAAACATCCTTTTAAAAAGATCAAAGGACTTTATTGAACACATTTTCCAGGACATCAGAAAGAATCCATGTGAGGAATTCTGAAAACTGCTTCATTGGCTTCTGGGTAAACCAGCCTTTGAGTCTTGCTCAGAAAGGGGTAGAGGTGTGAGGTGTGCGAGGAAATGCCCTTTGGCTCTTGAGGTATGAAGAGGGCAAGGTGAAAGGTGATAATCATTCCAGAAGAGTAACCTGTATCTGACAGTATCCAAAGCACAGAGAATGTGAGCAAAGAAACATGTTCGGCTTTTAAAAGTCATGTTGCTTGGGACGGGGATTTAGTTCAGTGGTTCTGTTACCTGCCTCGTAAGTTCACGGACCTAAGTTTGATCCCCGGAATCAAACAGAACAAAAAAAAAAGTCGTGTTGCTTGATGTCAATTTTCCATATGCTCAATTCCCCAACCCCACCTCCACCACAGTAATGCTATAATCACTCTGCTTTTATGTGTTTCTTTCTTTTTTTTTTTTTTGCCTCTCTCACACACACTGGAAGGACTGAACCTATGGCCTTCACACTAAGCTACACCTGCAGGCTTGTTTTTATCTTTTATATTGAGACAGTCTTGCTAAATTGCCCAGGCTGGGCTTGAACTTGTGGTCCTCCAAGCTCAGCCTCACAGAGTGCTGGTATTGCAGACATGCCCCTCCCAACTCTTTTACCAGTGTTTTGTGTGCTGGATTTCTATGGGAAACTGGGGAAAAGAGAAGTCTTTGGGGGAAGTCTTCCAGATGAGAAGACTGGCCTGTGCTGTGAGGACTCTGGCTGTTCTCTTAAACTCCTTCTTGGTTCTGCCCCTTCCAACCTAGCCATCTCTTCCCTACCCCACAGCTGGGCTCCGCGCTTACACTGCTTGGGACACCTTCCCCTTACCTGCTTTAGCTCTTTCTTCCCTTTCTGTTCCAGGAACCAAATCACAAGGGGCACTTCCCACGGCCGGACCACAAACTTCTCTCCTTCCAGAGTGTACCAGGTCGGGAGCACCATATCTGCTCCCTCTACCGCGCGCAACGTGGTGAGGCCAGCAGGCATGTGCACCTTCACCTGGGCCTTTGAGGGGTAAGCTGCAGACAGAGTGAGGTGTGAGCTCCGGATAGGGCGCCAGAAGAGGGTAGTGCCAAGGGCAAGGACAACCTTACCAGCCCCGATACTTACCCTCTATACTCTCCCGTTCTATGGATTTAATTTCTTATTAATTTTGTTAAAGTAGCTTAAGACTAAAAGCAAGGCACTGAAAAATGCCTAGATGAGTTAAATTTACTCCATAAACATGAAAGCTTGGTTCTAGTTTTTTTATTAACTGTTAGCAAAATTAGACATGCAGAAATCCTCATACCAGTGAGAATGCCCTCTAAATCAGCATCGAGGGGTTCCCAGGGGCCGCCAACCCAGGGTCCTGCTTCTCACCTCCCGCCACAGGTTTCTAGAGGGGCTGGGGACACATTTCTATGTACTTATTCATATCCGGAAGCTATATTCTGAGCACCAGAAGAGGGGGCAGATTTCCCTCCATTCCATTTCCTCTTTCCTTCCAGGGGAAAGAGGAGAGAAGAGAAAGGGGCCGATGTATTACTCTCGATAAACACCCCACGTTGCATATTTACTCCCCCAACTTCCTTGGGCAAGAGGCAAGGGACAGTGGTGACAGTGGTGGCGGCCACAAGGGCTCCTTGCTCGTGAGTTCTCATGACGGGCAGAGGGAGTTGGGAAACCGCCGGATTACTGTTTAATTCTGAGGCTTTCTGAACTGCCGGAGTCCGGAGAGGCTAAGCCACAGGTGGCAAAGCGAGTAAGCCTAGCGCAGGGACTGTGATGCCCGGCACTTCCTAGCAAAGTGGAGGGTTGGAACCCAGAAAGTTCTCAACTGCCCTTTTGGGGTCCGGGCGATCTGGGTGGGTCCTATTGGGGCGCAGGGAATTACAGGCAGATCGAACATCGGTCCTTTGACTAGAACAAGGCTTCCTCTGTGGATGCGCGGTGTTCTGGAGGTGGAGCCTGGTGTCGGTTCCAGTTGGATGGCTAGAGCTTGGGACACAACCTGTGCCCTTTGCAGAGGCAATGGAGAGGCCAAGTGGAAGCCCTTGGGGAGTGACTTCAGTCCGGGAACCGGCCAGGTCTGAGGACGACCGCGACCCTCGTCCCGCACACTATGCTTCCGCGGCGGTGCTCTCTGCACAGATCAGGGGGCGCCGTCGGGGAGCTGAGCAGTCCGCCACCAAGGACAGATCTCTGCCCTAGCAGCGCAGGCTGAAGGCCTGCAGAGTCCGGGAGCCATCCGGCCAGGATA